TTGTGAAAATGCATATTTAAATTCTTCAGTACGGCGACTTGTATTAGTCTTCGCACATATTTTGACAGAATGCAACACAATTAAATTTCAGTTAGATTACGCAATTCGTTCTATCACACACGTGACACTGTTTCTCCTTCCCGCGATGATTAAGCCGGAATAAAGACAAGGCCGAACGCGGTCAGGCATAGTTTATGACTGCAGTTGGATATCGCTGAATATACAGGTGGGAGACTGGACCCTGCAACAGGTGTGATGCAATACAGCACGTTATTTCGGGGTATATACATATAATGGGCTTGCAGACAGCTTAGCCGGCTGACAGTCTGGTGGACACGGCGATTGTGTGCACTTCCTGCATACGGTGCTTTTTATGGTCCGCGGTGTAATATTTTATTATCGCTTAAAACACATAATTAAATGCTAATTATTCCATTTCGTGTTTGTGTTTGGATAAGCTGTGAAAGGACACAGAAATGTTTATTCAGTTGTGACAAATATTCAGTTGATGATGGAGCTGGGCAAAATCTGCTCTCATGGAAATGGCATCTTTTGCCAATTGAACTGATCACGTGATGACGATCTCTTCATCGTCAGATATATCGCGCCATGATCGGTACCCTCATGATTAATTCAGCAACTCACTCAAATATTGAAGAGTTTACATATTCATGAGTGAAAAAAGAGAGTAAAATTGTTTGGTATGATTACATACTCAAAATATGTCTGTAAAACAACTGATAGACGACTTTAAAACCGATATATTATGGATATTGTTATTGTGTTTCGGCATATATAGTGTTATATTTTGGTAAGGAGGAGCTATTCTTGTACTTCCAAGACTAATCTTCGAAGGGTATTTGAAGATGCTGTGCGTCCTTGTGAACACTGTCATCGGCTTTTCTCTCTTTTTAGTTTAAACATATTTTATTTCGTTAATACAAAAATGAGGATCGGTGAACAAACCACACGGGCTTATCCACTACTACACAACACAGAAGAAAATATAATTTTGGTGACATCATAAAATAATCTCATTTGAGTGTAGTTGGTAGGGTGTAATCAATATAGCAATTACAATGTCGTATGTTCTCTTTTTTATTTTGGTAGATGCATTTGCACATATACGTACATCTGTTAAATGTCGCTTTTTTGTTGTGTTATATGTATTTCTATACTAAATGTGTTTATGATGACAATGATATAAAACATGTTAGGAAATGAATAATGTAGTCCACCAGTGTTGCATCTAGGATTTAACCATAGTGGGTCAAAGTGGCCCTTTGTTTTAAAATCAGTGGGTCACTCCATGTATTGACAGTGGGCCACTGTTTTGTGAGGTCATTCCTCACTGTTACGATCTTATAAAGAGACAATAGAAACAATATCATGTCTTTGAAATGTCTTCTTATTAGCTTCAGTAATGGTGTACAGCAATACTTGGAATAAAGACTAGATGAGACATCTCACCTATAACTCTCAGCCGTCTAAGCTTTGAAGATTCTCCTGTCCACTTTCTCCTTCCCGCTTCTCAAAAGCTCGCACATAGTCAAACTCATCTACCTCCTTGCCTCTCTAGTTTTTATCAACATCAGTGTGTTCAGCCTCTGCACACACAGTCTGTTTCTTGCAGGGTTGTGGATGTTGTTCTGGCAGCTGAAGCCACGTTCACAATCCAGCTGTTTGCAAGGGCATTGCACAAGAGCAAGCCTGGCTAGGGTCAGGAGGTTGGGAAACATGGACTTGTGATGTGCATATCTCAGTCCAAAGTTTACTGAAATTGTCCCTTGCATACCTTTCCTTCAGAACAACTCTCTTCAAAATGTCCCACTCACACAGAGTTCCAATTTTGTCAATTTTGGCCTTTGCTAACATATTCTCCATTCCCTGTCCGATCAGAACCATAAAGAGTTAGTCAGGGAATTTCCATTTCCTCCTTTCCATAGTTGACAAGATCCTCTTCAGACAGCATGCTTATACTCCTTAATCCCATGACACTAAAGCAGTAGATACACTGACTGATTCTTTTTAGGAAACCTACTTTTTTCAACTCTGTCTTGAAGAGCATTCAAAAATTTGTCCCTGATTTCCTCTGATTTCTTTGCTTGGTAATTATGTAACTTCTCTCCCCAATTACTTAGCTATCACATTGTCATTTTTTTTTTAAGAATCATTTTATCTTTGAGCAGTAGCTGATAGTGGCTTTTGCCACTGAGTGCACATTTCAAACAAGACAGACATCCCCCAACTGCAGGCTGCACACATGAAACATCAAGATCTACTTTTTCGGAATACCAAACTCAATTCAGTAAACCTGGGGATCACATCCATCATCACATGGAGCATGAAAATGAACTTGTAATCTGTGAGGTTGGCTAGTTGTTCCTCTTCCTTTGAGCTCTTCTTGTCAATCTTTTTGAAATATCTCACTAGAGACCTCCATGTCTTGTACACAGTGAAAAGTGCATTGTACATAGCAAACCACCTGATCTCGTGGACTTCCTTTACTTTTATTTGGGGGTCATCCAATAATTCTGTACCTCGGCAAGTTCTGCAACTCTGCATGCTGATTTCTTAAAATAATAAAAATAAGTCTGTAAGAGTTTTCTGAAACGCACTCCCAACATACTCCCACTTCGTCAGCTGCCTTTGATGTGCACAAGTTTAGTCTGTGTGCCACACAATGAATATTTACAACATGGGGACTATCATCCTGCAGGAGTTTAGCCCTCCAGATTTCCTACCAGTCATCACTGACGCTCCGTCTGTGCCAAGTGCAATGATGTCACTCATTTTCAGATTCCTCTTGACTGCATAAATTCTTTCATGTGTTTGTAAAATGACTTATTGCAGTTGCTCATGAACCCTTTAGTTCAATGTTTCCAAGAAAAATAGTTTCTTGTTGCATGTTTTCAAACACCATTCTTCCATAGATAACAAGCTTTTTTTGTCACATTAATGTCTGTACGCCCAGCGGATAAGATGCACTTTTTCACTGAATTGTGCACTTTGTGTTACAAGCATGAAACTTGGCATGATTGTAGCTTATACCATTCTAACTGAATAAAGATCGAGAGGCCTCGCAGATTTTTTATATTTTCCATAATTTTGGGGGAAAAAGTGAAAAAATATAATTTTTTATACTATTTTCGTCATAACTTTTACAAAATTCTCCAATTCTCATAAGACATATATCAAATTGTAGGAAATCCATAGCTGGTCATTTTCCATCTATACATGTCTTTTTATCTTTAACGGTTAGGTCTACGGAAGTCAATTTATATCATGACTACCCGAAAATGCGAAAATTGGTGGCCATTTTGAAAAATGGCCGCCAATTTTCACCTCCAGTTTGCAAAATGGCCGCCATATAGAGTACATCAGTAAAATAAGTATGAGATCATCCCATGATCTAAAATATTTTATCATTTCTTTGCAAATTCAATGCGAAGCCTCACAGATTGTTGTAATTTTATATATTTGGGGGGAAAAAGTGGGGAAAAAATTGAATTTTCCAAAAAATGTTCCTTTAACTCAATTTTAAATCCTCATAAATTATCTAACTAGAATATTGTGAGAACAGACCAAAGTTTATTTTAAGGAATATATCATTAGATTTACTTACATTTATAATGTATGAGCTTGATTGGCTATAGATCACCTATGAAAACTTATCAAAATCAACGCAAACATATTTCATTTCAACATCAATGTCAAAGTAGCTATCTCATTAATCTATGGAAGGTTACTCAATCATGTGTAATTGTATCTAGCTTGACTGGATCAGAAAAGTGCAGTGCACTTAAGAGCTGCTTTTAAACACTTGGACCAGTTTGAACATTTTATACACATGCATTTCAGCAATTCCTGGCAGCCCTTTCATGCCAATGAAAGAGTTGTCCATACAGGCCCAAGCTCTCCCCTAGAGTTATTACCAACCCTATACAGAGGGCTTGGTAATTCCTGTGATTTCATCAGGGATTGCTCTGAAACATAACTCCCCTGATTTACAGCTCTCTTTATATGTTGGATCAAAAGCTTATTCTGTTGGGGAATATTGTCCAAAGTTCTCCTCATCGTGGTGAACAAATGCTTTCTTGCTTCATTCACTTTCATGAGGTTGCTTGCTCTGTCATACAGCAGTACAACAAATCTCTCAAGCTGATGAATCAGCATTTAGTGATTAGTGATTTCAAGTGGTGGACGAGGTGAGGGAAATAGGGTGCCTGTAAGTTCAGGAAAAGCAAATCCATGCATTCCGAGGTCTTTTTCATATCAAAGGATGACACAATGTCACAGAATGTGAAGCTGTGAAACATTGGAAGGGATCTACTTTTCTCAGGACCCAGACCTGATGCAAGTTCATGAATTACAATATAGCGGAAGAGTTTTCCGGTACCAAACCCCACCCATACTTCTTCAAGATCGAGAATGCCTGTTGCAGCTATGGCCAACACAACCACATCAGTAGTCAACATTACGGCTGTAAAACTTCTTCCATCCTTTATGTGAAGCATCAGTGAAGCAACTTTCTTTTATCTTTTTTATCTCTTCATAGTTACAGGGTGCCAGTTCCAAAGGTCTTTGGTTGATTGGACACCACATGTTCACTCCAATAGGGCTGATGACTTGCTTGATTCTATCAAGGCTATTTTCTGTACAAGGGAAAGCAAAAAGATATTTCTTGCTGGTATCACACCTCGGGAATTCTTGCCAGTTCCTCAGAACTGGCTTCCACTAAATAGTCTTTTCCACTTCCTCTTTTTGTTCTTACACTGGATTTTTACGCTGTCCGTTTTGTATTCGTCTCAGACAATATCCACTCTCTGATTAGTGTCCAGAAGAGACTGCAAGTACTTCAAGAACACATTATCAGCATACTAGTATTCATCAAAATGCTATTGGAGCTGCTAGTTTAGCATGTTTATTACTGCAGATCTATCAAGGATTGATACGTCAACATGTGGTGTTGAGTCAGTTGAGTGAGTGAAATTTTCTTCAAAGCAATTGAGAGAAGAACTGATTTTGCGCATGGACGTAAGAGAACCTTGATGAGATATGAGTTGGGTAGCAAGACTGATTTTTATGTCTGACAAACTCATCCAGGTTTCCATCCCTTGGACTCGTCTGTGTATATCTTGTCTTCATGGAAGAAGTTCTACATCCGTATTGTTGACACAGATGTGGTTGTGTTGGCCATTGCTGCATCAAGCATTCTCAGTGTTTCCCAGCTTCACAGGCCATGACAGTATGTCATCCTTAGAATCAGAATTGAAAGAAGGCCTCGCGGAATACATGGAATACTTTTCCTGAACTTACAGGCACCTTTATTTCCCTCGCTTGTCCACCACTTGAAATCCCTAATGCACAAAATTAATCAGCATGAGAGAGTTGTTGTACTGCTGTATGACAGTGCAAGCAACCTCATGAAAGTGAATGAGCAAGAAAACATTTGTTTGCCACAAAGGGGAGAAACACTGGACAATATTCCCCCAACAGAATCATTCCCCAACAGAATCAACTTTGATCCAACATACCACTGGTAACTATGGACAACTCTCACGAAGGCATGAAAGAGCTGCGGGGAATTGCTGAAATGCATGTGTATAAAATGTTCAAACCGGTCAAGTCTTCGTTAAAGCATCTCTCAAGTGCTATGCACTTTTCTCATTCAGTCAAGCTAGGAATACAATTACACATTCCATAGAGTGATGAGATAGCTACTTTGACATTGATGTTGTCTTGATTTTGATATGTTTTTATAGGTGTTCTATAGCCAATCAAGCTCATACATTATAAATGTAAGTAAATCTAATGATATATTCCTTAAAATAAACTTTGGTCTGTTCTCACAATATTCTAGTAAGATAATTTATGAGGATTTAAAAATTGAGTTAAAGGAACATTTTTGGAAAATTCAATTTTTTCCCACTTTTTCCCCCAAATATATAAAATTACAACAATCCTATGAGGCTTCTCGTATTGAATTTGCAAAAGAAATGATAAAAATATTTTAGATCATGGGGATGATCTCATACTTATTTTACTGATGTACTCTATATGGCGGCCATTTTACTGCAAAGCTGGTGTGCAAAATGGCCGTTTTCAAAATTAGCCTGAGAATTTTCGCATTTTTTCAAGAGTAGTCATGATATAAATTGACTTCCGTAGACCTACACCGTTAAAGATAAAAGACATGTATAGATGGAAAATGACCAGCTATGGATTTCCTACAATTTGATATATGTCTTATGAGAATTGGAGAATTTTGTAAAGGTTATAACGAAAATAGTATAAAAAATTATATTTTTTCACTTTTTCCCCCAAAATTATGGAAAATATAAAAAATCTGCGAGGCCTCTCGATCTTTATTCAGTTAGAATGGTATAAGCTACAATCATGCCAAGTTTCATGCTTGTAACACAAAGTGCACAATTTGATCAC